AGCACGGCCATCGGCCGGCGCTGAAAGTCGTGTCGTCTGCGTGAGCCTTAATTTAGCTGACCCCATAAGTGTTTTCTGACCTTCTAGCTCGAGGTGTTTCTCACACGTCCTTGTCAGCGAGACAACAACAGACTGATTAGGTAGAGTCAGTAGCTCATGCGTCAGGCTAGCAGATATCGGTGTTCTCCGGTAATCATACAAGGTTGAGTCCTACAAGAATGTTTCCAAGAACCTACTGGCTCCACAGGTTAGAGCACAACTCATGGGTAGTGACAGATTCCAACATGATGAAGCACTGGAGTCTAAACATCAGATAGATGAGTTGTTCTGGGTTAAGGCCAGTTAAAGATGAGCTAATAGGGAAACCTACAGGCACTAGGGGGAAGACAGAAACATAAAAGGGACCAAAAGATGTCATCCTTCAGATTTGGTGTTGGCATTTGATGTGTTCACATGTTGTATGCTGGCACTGTGTCTCCTCGGCCGGGCTCAATAAACCATGCTATGTTAAGTCTTCATCAGTCTCTGAAACTTCTTCACACCTGAACCTGGCTCACAGTATTTCTTCAACAATAACAAAAATCTCATCAGATCATTTTTAGATTTTTATTACTGATTTTGTTTTTATTTATCAGTGTGAGAAATGTTTGTGTGTTTTGTGCTCAGCTGTTTCTGTTTCAGTCTCACTTTGAACAACAATATTCAAGTCTTGATTTCATCTCATATCAGGAAGCCCACTGTGAGTTTTATAAAATGTCTTTTCCTGCATCAGTTGTGAAAATCTTTATTTTCTGCAGCCAGTTCAGAACACAGCAGCTGGATTTCAGCTTCATTTAACAGGAACGAGCATTTAACTCTAGTAACAGTCTCCTCTTTATTATATCTGATAACAATATAAACTGCAAATAAAGAAATGTTCACCGCTTTAGTCTACATTGTGTTTGTGATTCCTTCATGTACTAACAGTGTCATAATGGAAAGTGAATATTCTTTACTATGAATGTTCTGCCTCTACTAGTAGAACCACCTCCCTCCTCTTGTCCCCTTCTAGTAGTAAACCTTCCCTCTGGAGGACCTCTAACCTTCCAGTGTCATGTTACGTCAAGCAGGGAGCAGATAAAGCAAGGATTCAGACAGAGTGCGAATTATACAGTGACAATCGAGGGGTCAACTTTTTTCCAGGTCGTAAAGGAAACAGCAGGTGTTTGTCTCAGTGAACTGAAGTCTTACAATCTCCTTGTTTGTTTAACGTAATGTCTGCAGTCTGTGGATGAGGATGAATCAAGTTCACCAGTTCATGGGTGCCACAAACAGGAGTCACCAAGTATTGTAGAAAGTCAGACCCACACAATGCTGAACCAGAACCAAAGACACTATCATAAAATACAGTCTGCATTATCATCTCTAATTCATAATTCTTATCATTTTAACTTTCAACTTACTTACTAGCTCATGTTAACTGTGAATGAAATGTAATCTGCGTTCAATAAAGTAGTAGTCATACATGTGAAACAACAAACCTGGATTTGAACACTTACTGACACTTGACTATTATGAATACAGATTATAAAATACTCGCTAAAATAATTACCAATCAATTAAATGATATTCTGGATGAAATTATAGAAAGAGAACAAACCTGTGCAATAAAAGGCCGTCTCATGTGGGATAATCTGAGCATTTTACGAGAAATTCTAAACAAACCAAATAACAAAGGTTTTTATATCATAGGCCTTGACCAGAAAAAAGCCATCGATTATATTTTAGAGATCAGTTTTGGAAGCATACGGCTTTCCTGAATCCTTTATCCATATGGTAAAGTGTCTGTATGTGAAATCAAGTGTGTGTGTTAATCTCAATGGTGTTTTGACCGATTCGTTGGAGGTCCAGAGAGGTTTAAAGCAGGGCTGCCCCCTGAGTCCAGCCTTGTACATCCTGGCCATCAATCCCCTGATTAAAAAAATCAACTCAGATACAGCTATGGCCTATGCCGATGACATTACTGTAGTAATAAAAAACCAGAGGGAGATGGACGCTTTAATAAATATTTTAAGTGTGTATGAGCTCGCATCTGGGGCTAAATTAAATCACTCTAAAACTGAAGGAGTTTGGAAAGGAGAGGAGAGCGACAGGGGCGACATTAACATTCAAATTAAACAGGAAATTAAACTCTTGGGCCTGACCATATGTAACAAAGATTGTGCTGAAGTAAACTGGGAGAAAAAACTGAGTGAAGTTAAAGAAGAAGTAAAAAAATGGGAAAACAAAAGAAATAATTATAGGACCAGAATCAATGTTGTCAAAACTTAGATTTTATCCAAATTCCTGTTTTTATCGAACATTTTCCCCCCCTCGCACAAAATGATAATTAAACTGAATAAACAATGTGTTAACCTCGTCTGGGGAACAACCAGGGAAGTTACAAAAAGAGCGCTGCTTTTAAAAGCAGAGAATACGGAGGTTTAGGCGCCGTGGATCTGGGTATCCGCCTCACGGTAGCTTTTGTTAAAAAGGTTTCCACAGCCATCTCCAGGAACGCTCTCTGGCTGGGTGATCCTGTCAAATGGCATAAGAGACGAGGCAGGGCCAGACAGGGTCCCTACTACAAATTAATTTACGGGGATTTTATTGCACAACACCAGCACTTACAGATACACTGGGTGGGATTTAGCAGCAAATCTATTTTCATAAAAATTAACGATTTTAAATATGGGGGTTTTATTCATTACACGAACTTGGCGGTTGGCGATGGCACCGAGGTGAGGAAAATTTAAAGGGGAAAGTCACTTTCGGAGAGCCTTCGGGACGCCCGGTGGCTCATGTCAGTCAGTAGACTCCCAGTCAGAGCGGTGGTGTCCTGGTGTTGCTTTGTTAAAACAAAAGAATGTCCGATGAGACACTGTGAGGAGGATGAGACACAGCAGCACCTCCTGATGGACTGCTATAGATCTCAGGAGGTCTGGAACATTTTAGATGGTCTTGGCCTCTCTTTCATACGTAATTATAGATCTGTTACATACGGACTTCTTGAAGAAATCATGCCAACAAAGAAAAAAGAACTATTTAAACTGGTCATCAGCATCGTTTGCCATAAACTTTGGAAAACTAGATGCGCCATGAGTTTACACCAGACTGTCATAGACAGCGACATGGTCGTGAGACAGATTCTGACCGAACTCCGCATGAGGAGAACTTTGGACAAGACACAGTCTCTCCCCTGGAGCTCACTGGATTTATGAGGGAAATATGAAGACTGCTTGATCCACCAGCTGCTGGAGCGAGAGAGGGAGGGAGGCCTGGAGCTGGAGTGATGCTGCAGTCTTTTATCTGGTCGGGGTCCTCCAGGAGAGAAAAGACAGTTTGAAAGTCTGACAGCAACGATATGATTGGCTCACAGAGGTTGTGGCAAATTCTGATTGGTTTAACTGAAAGAATGAACGCCCTCAATCTAATGACGGAGTTGGAAGCAGAAAAAAGGAAGAGAGGGGGCGGGGGAGAAATAGAGTCAGCATGAACGATGTCTTCCTGATTCAACTTCTGCTGAGTTTCCTTAATCTTAAAAAAATATCTGCAAAGATAAAATGAGGAACCAGCAGATCTCAGAGCAGTAAAATATCATCTTATCTGTGTTCTTCAGCAGCTGCTACAGTATCACCATATTGCACCATGGACATCAGGAGTCAGATTCTGGTGGGAGAGGAGTTTGACTCTTCACCTGTCTGTTCATGTGTGCTGTCAAACATCATCATGGATCCTGTCTGTTTTCTAATAAACACTATCTGAAGAAAACAAGTTGCATCATTGCAAACATTTACCTTAACTAACAATCTTCACACCTTCAGCTTCCTCTTCTTCTTCTTTTCGCTTGGTGAAACACGTCATTGTCACAAATAGACCTGAATGAACAAAGTGTGAACTCTGATGGCTGCATCTCATGTTGCTGATCAAGACTTTGGGGTCTCTGTCAGTCACTGTGGATGAGAGAAAACTACATTTCAATATTGTAAAAGTGAAAACTGTAACAGAGTTTTTGGCTGTTTGGACATCGACCAGAAATTCAGAGAGACTGAAATCTAAAACAGACTAAAAGTCACTATGACGAAGTGACATCATCCTAACCACAGGAAGTAGCTGCAGCGTCTCTCTACTAAAGCACTAGTTTAGAAACTCAGACAGTTCTGAGCACGAGAACAAGAGACAGAAGAAGGAGAGACTCAGAGAATCATGATGGTTGAGTTCAAATGGATTTCTTTATTTCTTCCAGCGGTGCTTCAGTTTACAGGTAAGAATACATATATCACATATATAAATGGAAGGCACATTGTAAAAAATAACTTGATCAATATTATTAAAGATTCTTTATTAGCTACATTTGATTTAACTAAGAAAACCAAATCTGTTGTTTCTAATGTGGTGAGTTTAGTGAACTCTTGGAAACTAAGGATAAAGAAATAATCGTCACTAACTATGAACATAACAGACATTTTCTCATTTCACTTTATTTTCATCATTTTCTCAACAGCAGCAGCTGGAAAACTTCCCCTCTCCTTCACTGTCAGAGTTGGAGATGACGTCACTTTGCCTTGTGAAAATGTGATAGACGGTCAGCAAGAATGTGAAAATACTATATGGCTCTTTGTTGGTTCAGGAAGCAGATCAGCAGTAACGCTGTTTGAACTTGGACAGATTCACAAAGACGCCAAAGCTAAATCAGACAGACTGAGTGTTACAGAGAACTGTTCTCTGGTTATAAAGAAGGTCACAGTCGAGGATGTTGGTCGTTACACCTGCAGACAGTTCAACAAATCAGGACAACAACAAGCTCCAGACTCTCTGGTTCATCTGTCTGTTATTACCAGTGAGTATTTCCATCATAATGTTTTCAGCTCAAACTGTCTTGTTAGAACAATATACTGAAACATTACAATAATTATGATCACAGTGATGAAGTTAACTTTACTCTTGTTGTCTTTCTCTCACAATATCTCCATCTTCACCAGTGACTGAACGTAAGGACGCTGATGAGGTGACGTTAAACTGCTCTGTGTTGAAATATGGACAGTCCTGTAGACACACAGTGAAGTGGCTGTATGAGGGTAAAGATGTGGACAAAGACATGAAGACATCACAGTCTGTCTGCTACGCCACTGTGTCTTTCCTGGATTCTCATTTTATTAACAAATCAAAGTCTAACTTGAAGTGTGAAGTGACAGATGGTTCCTCTGGAAAAGTGCAGCTGTTCACCTTCAGCCCTCAGTCCTCAGGTGAGAAAACAGGTGAGAATATGCTGAGCTGTTCAAGATGACTAAAACCACCAAAATATTTGTTTATCTGATGACTTTTTAAGATGACATCATTCTTTCTCATTTAGTGACAGCAGATGGTAAACATGAGGGACAGTTTCTTGGGTTGTGTTATTTCATTCATGCACAAACAACAACAACAACTGAAAACACAAAATCAGTTACAGCCACAACAACAACCAATGAAACTTCAACAGAACTACAAGGTAGTAATTCATCTTTCTCTGGAGTCTCTCTGTCTTCCTGTCAGCCTCTTTCTCTCCTCACAATAAACATATTAATCTAACGTTTCATTTAGTTCTTTTTGATTTTTTTCTGTTCTACAGCTTGTGCAGATTGTTCTGCTCTGGACTACATAATGTTGGTTATGCGTGTGGCTGAACTCCTCCTAATTACTGTGATTACTGTTCTTCTCATCAGAGCTCGAGGTGAGAACATTCAGACCAACATTTGTTCACACTGATTAACATAACCTGTAAGTTTAGAGCTGAAATATTTCTCTGTGATTTATTTACCTGGTAACCAGAGACTACCTGACAACAACACAGTGACCTACAGCAGCGTGAAAGCTTCCTCTTCTTCTGCTGGAGCCTCAGCTGATCCCAGCGACCTCTACGCCACCGTCAACTAACCAAACAAATAAGAGACCACAGTGTAGTTACAGCTCATATCATTACAGGTAATTTACACTGAGAACTGATAAATGTTTTATTATTTGAATTATTTTATGATAATATATGGGACATTTAGCTTGATGAACTTGCTGTCAGGCACTTTAATGTGCTAGTGCTGTGTTGTAGTTAAACATGTATTAGTTTTTACTGTTATTTCTGTATCAGCTGTTATTGTTTGATATGCAGTCATTTTAACACCTATATTTCTGTAGAGGTTTAACACCTCCAGAGCTCTTCACACCTTCACCTTCTTCCTTTCATGTGGTGAAACACGTCATTGTCACAAATAAAAAGTGTGACAATGACGTGTTTCACCAGTAGATCACTTAGGTCTTCTGACCAGAGCTCTCTGGTTGTTCTTCGTGCTCGATTGAAAACAGTAGAAGTATTGGCTCCGACACTGTGGAACGCTCTTTCTTTAGACTTACGTTCCTCAGTCTCTTCACGCCTTTAAAAAGCAGCAGCAGACTCTTTTCTTCAAACTGCCCTTTGTCTCGCCTCGTGCTGTTTAGTGTTTGTAAGTCACTTTTACTGTAATAAACCAGACCACCATCTTTCTCTGACCTTAACCAGCTGCTGCCAGAGTCTAAGTCAAGTTTAATAATACTGAAAGCAGATGTTGTATTTTGCAAGATTGAAGAACAAATCAGGGAACATTTTACTGTTAGGTCCACTATCAAAATTTTTGTGACTTTACTTTTTTACAGTGTGTTACCAGAAACTAAATCCAGTCTGTGTTTTGTTTCCTTCAACATGTGTTTACTGTGGCACATTAGTTGTAAACAAACTTAATTTCTAGGAGACAAGTTAGAGCAGTGAGAATGGACATTTTGTGAGTATAAACCTTGAAATGAATAATATCTGCATCTTCATACGTTCAAACAGGAATCTTTCAAGAAGGTGAGAAGAGAAGATGTAAATGTCACAAAGACACAACTAGTTATTTAAGCAGAGTGTTTTTATCTGCTTTAAAACACGTCTGGTTGTTAGACCGGTTCAGAAGCAGCTCTGCATGACGACTGTTGGAGCCTTTAGATCTTTTTTACAGCAGACGTGTTTAATTGTCAGGACTCTGAAACTGAAGCAGCTAAATGGAATCCAGCCATCATTAATTGTTTAATTTAAACCTGTTTTCCTGATGTGCTGTGTCAAAATGTCTTCTATGAAAAGAACAGATGTGTGTGTTTTGGTCAGATTAGTATTGAATCTGGATATTTTCCCCTTCAGGCCAGTAGGGGCTGATTAATGTTTTTGTGCAGGTCCTGACTGGGACATAATATAATGCTCCTGAACACTGAGTTGTTTTAGATCGAGGGAAGTTTCATCAACTGCAACAAGTCAAACTTTAAGTTCTCTGCATCTCACACTGTGAAATCATCTGTGTTTGTTTACTGAAGCCATCAGTTAGCAGCAAGCCAGTAAGACTGTTTGCTGCCAATTTAAATAGTCCCCAACAAACAAACAATTTCCTCCTGTTTGTTTGATAGAAACTACAGTGAGCAGCTGTTTGAGGGCATTACTGAGCTTTTAAACGTAAAACTAAATACCTCTGAGGCGTTTTTAAAGATTTACATCTTCAGTAGGAACCAATGGGATCAGAGCGGAGAGCTACAGACAGGAAGTCAGAAAGCATTGAGTGACTAAGGCTACGGTCACGTTGGGTTAGGGGTATGTTGATGACTCTCACCATGTTGTCCGACAACTCCACAGTTTGGGACAGAGAGCCAAAGGCAAGTTTACAGGCCAGCACATGTCACTCTGAGCTCTCCTGGCAGTGTGGAGAATATGAGTCTGTTAAGTTTAGGCATTGAGCTGTGATGGTTATGTTTAGTAGAAACCCACCGGTAAGGAGACAGATCCCATGAGTGCTCCTGAGAAGAACATTGAATCGAGCAGGCGGCACTGATCGGGTATTTACAAGGTTCCTAACTGAGTGAAATGACCCGGAAGTGTTTAAGTGGCAGCCACAATAAGAGCGGGCTGAATTCTCTAAATGCATTTAAAGCAACTCACTATTGTAGTTTCACTACGACAAATGCACATAAATGTACAGGAGCATCTAAAAAATATTAGAATATCTTGGAAAAGTTCATTTGAACTGAACCAGACTGAGAGACTAAAGGATCAGGAAACATTTGCAGGTGTTCTGAGTTAATTAGCTGATTAGAGCTCTTCTCAGGTCGACTTTTCTCTATTCTGAAGTCTTTATTCTAACTTTTTGAATAACAGAAAAAATTTACTTTTTGTGACATTCAAATGTTTTGATGCACCTGTAGAAACAACAGAGCATCTATTTAACTAATGTGTAAACAAGATCAAACGTTCCCATCCCAGGAAACTCTATATATATGTTTGAATACATTTTACTCTTTACGTTGAACTTTCTCTACTTGTATATTGATTTTGTTATTATATTGTGTCAGCATTTTAATCCTTTTTGTTTTTTCAGCAGTATCTATGTTGTTGTTACTTCCTATGAGCAGCCTAACTGATGGTTAAATGTACCAAATGAAACATCCTTTCTTAGGAGGTGTGATTCTGTGTTGGACAGGAAACCTTTTGAAGTGAGCAGCATTGAGTTTGTCACTGTACTCATCTTCCGCGTGTTATAAATAAAGTTGGTTAAAAAGAAGCTGGTGTAAGTGCAGCCTGGTTCTCTGAGCACCGCGGTTGTCTTTTATGAATTCTCCTTCACATCTTTCCTTGACCTCATGACGTTTTCCATCAAAGTCAAGGAAAAGTGTTTAGGAAAGGACAGAGGATGGATTTTTTTACCATTACAATGTTTGTATTTAATGTGGACAAAGGATGACACTCTGTTGTTGATGACTGCATCTTCCTCTTCACCATTTCTCCTGTCCTAAGACTCACTCCAGTTTCTGTGGTACATTCGGTTCCATCACCTGGGTTTATCCTCATGAAGAATCTTTAGGGAAGAGAAAATTTCTTTTTCAACAACAAATATTTTCCATTCTTATGTAAAGTTAGTATTTACAGCAAAAATTTGTCATTTTCTGTGGGTTTTTCTCCTGTGGCATCCCGCAAGGCTCAATTCTAGGCCCTCTTCTCTTTTCCACTTGGCTCAATACTTAGGAAACATGGCATCTCTTTCCATTGTTATGCAGATGACAGCCAGATCTATGTACCTTTGAGTAAGGATGACACTCTCAGACCATTGTTTGCATTTGTAGAGGACATAAAGGCTTGGATGGCTCTCAACTTCTTAAGTTTTAATGAAAACAAAACGTAGGTGATGGTTTTTAACGGCACCCTTGGGACTCACTCCCCTCCTCACCTCGATCTAGGCCCCCCAGCTCAGAATATCACGCCAACCGTCACTGACCTAGAAGTCAAAATTGATGCAGATATGAAACCGGATAAACATGTTGGGTTAGTGATTAAATCTAGTTTCTTTCAATTAAGACAGCTGGCTAAGCTGAAACTGATTCTTTCTAAGCAGAATTTTGAGACCGTTATACACGCCTTTTTGACTACTAAACTAGATTACTGCAATGCACTTTTCATTGGGATGAGTGGATCGTCTCTCGCCCGTCTCCAGATGGTGCAAAACGCTGCAGCCCGTCTTCTAACAGGAACACGTAAATATGAACACATCTCCCCAGTTCTACGCTCACTCCATTGGCTACCCATACAATTTAGGATAGATTTTAAACTTATTTTACTGACTTTTAAATCCTTGAATGGCCTTGCCCCCTCCTTATTTATCTGAGCTGCTTCATCCTTATACACCCACCTGTTCGCTCAGGTCAGTTGACAAACTTCTCCTGAGAGTGCCTAAAACCCCTCGCAAACTTAAAGGGGACCGTGCTTTTGCGGTAGCAGCTCCGAAATTGTGGAATGCCATTCATCTTACCATTAGACAGGCTTCCTCACTGTCTGATTTTAAACCTTGTCTTAAAACCCATCTCTTCCATCTGGCTTTTGACCTTTGAGGATGACACTTGGAGGAACTAATTTGTTAGTATTTAACGGTATACATTATATAACCTGTAAATTGATGTTTGCTTTTTTTAATCTTTGTACAGCACTTTGTGCAACTTCGTGATTGCTGTTAAAGTTCTCTGTAAATAAATTTTGATTGAATGTAAGGAAAACTACTTAATGTTAATTTTTACATCTTGAGGGTAATGAGATATTTTAATTTGTTTTCTATTCTATTGTGTCACACTACAATAAAACATGAACATGTAACATATTCACATTTATGTTAGTTGTAAGATGAACTGCATATTTAGAATAGGCCTATGTTAGTTATAAGCTACAACAAATAAGTGTACAACAAATGAATGCTAAAACTAGAAATGTGCCTAGCTATCACTAGTTTAATTAGTTTGCAATAATAATGCAATTAATCGAACTGACTTACAACTCTCCTTACATTAGCTAGCT